GGTGAACGTCAAACCCAGGTTCTACCTACAGACCTAAAAAATAGATTCCACACTTGATTACATGATAACCTGTCTTTTTTTGTGTAATTTTTCGTACAAGGCGCGATGAAGTTGCAGGGTTATGCAGTTATGCAATGTATTTTCAGGGTGTATAAAGGACGTGTAATGGTATTATAGTGACATTCGTCGAGCACAACGATCCAACAGATTCGATTCATGTCGATAAAGAATAAAAGTGTCGAAGGATTAGTCGTCAAGGCCTTAGAGGTGATAATTTTTTAATCCGCCAAATTTACAAGTGGGACAAAAGGTGATCGTACGACCTTGCGTCGGATGAAGGAAGGCTCCATGCCGTCCACGTAGCGCGAGTACGGCCTCGACGGCTCACAAGTGCAAAAGATTTCATAGGTGAGTCGTGATTTTGTGAGAACGAAACTGTGGATGCACAGAGGATCCTCGGGTGAACGTAATGAGAGAAATCTTTTATAAATATTAAACAGTGAACCCACTGAGCGGAATGACATACAGAAAACAGGGAAGCGTTAAAAAAAAAGCGTCCGTCCATGGCCACGAAGTGATGACAGTAACTGTCACATGTGTTAATCAATTAGCGTGAAAGATCGTATTTATGGGCCACACTCGAACCTTTCACCTCATGAATAACCAAACATGATTCCAGTGTACAAATATGAATTGTATTTATCGTATCGACATGCCAAGTTTATGGCGCGCAGGAAATATCGACCGTCCTGCCGTATCGTAGTTCTTCCGAAGTACTCGAGCAAGGATATAAAGAAAGTTTATAGTCCATTGGAACAGCCGTTAAAATGCCATCGACCTCGAGTCAATCGGTTCCCGAGAAACGTACGGAGAAAGGGACGACGCAACATAGGACGTCAAAATCAATTTGTAATAATACAGTTAAATACAATGGCCTCTTTGTCTAAGGGAGTATTCAATCGAATCGTTTCGTTCAAGAATTCATTGCGTGGATCCTCTTGATTTATTCGATTCGAGATTTTATTAGGAAGGGCAGCCTTTCATTTTTCAGTTTTGCAATTTGAGTTTTTCACTTCCACGCTAATCCAAAATGGATTTTTTAAAACTACATGAAAGGACATGAAGAAACCATTTTTTATTAAAACTCAAGCTAACTGCCCTTCAATCTATACTGAAGAAAAACATCAATGTCACAAACACGTAATTAAATATATTAAAAAGACTTCGATCCATCGTCGAGCTTTCGACAGTTCCCTTCATCAGCATTTTCGCGCCTTAGACGCTTGTGCCTTATAAAATCATAAAAGAGATCTTTTCACTAATAAAAAATCCTCATGAGACCCGATAGCGAAGCAGCTATTAAAGCGTTAGCACATCAAAATTAGTCCGTGAATATATGCAACACAGTAACTTGATGATATCTTGGGTACTAGTGCACAGGAAATTTGAGTGATGAACAAGCAGACCCACTGACTAGAGGAGGAACTACAAGACCATACGTCCTGAAACAATTCTCGGGATATCAAAAACAAACAATGAATCCACGATCACAATCCAAAAAAAACAAAAGATAGAATTGGATACAATCTAGAGGTGCTAGACAAAGTAAGCTTATGCTAAACAACCCTCACCAAATTCAATGCTTTATATCGGATAGCCATTAAGCTATTAAAGCATTAGCATGTAAAAAATCTTATTGAAATGAATCAGTTAATGCATCCAAAATCTCCAAAACCTGGCGAAACATAACAACCCGATAATATCTTGGGGTATCAGAAGACGAGGGAATTTTGGATAACGAAAAGGCAGACACACTGGCCAGAGGAGGATCCGCAACATCATAGGCCCTGAATCTATTATTGGAATAATAAAAACAAACATAGAATCCTCCATTCGAAATCACTAAAACCTGGGGAAACTCAACCTGGTGATATCTTGGTGGCAGAGAAACTGGCAAGACAAGGATCCCGGAGACTATAATTGGGATAAGAAGGACAAACACCTCCCAAAATTCGTTAGAGAAGTACATCTTGGTCCTTCAAGCTGTAATACATGCTTACAGAAGTTACAATGACCAAAATAAGATCAGACATGAAGCCATAAAAGCACTAGGACATAAGAAAGTGAAGTCAATGAATACATACAACTTCTCCAAAATCAGTGAATACAATGATGATGATGTCGTGGGTACCAGTACACGAGGGAATGTCGGGTGATGATCAAGCAGACCCACTGGCCAGAGGAGGATCTGCAAGGTCCTGGACCAATTATTGGGATATCAAAAACAAACAGAATGTCCAGATAATGGATCCAAAAAAGACAAAATGGGAAGTGGTTAAACTCTAAAGGTGCTCGACACAGGCTGAAACAATCCTCACCAAGACTCACTGCTACAGTTAGACATGGCTAAACTCAGAATGATAAGACTACCGGTCATTGGCATCTGAGAAAAGACCTTCATAACATAGGTATATTCAATGATGACCCAATTTGTAGGTTATGTAATGAAGAGAAAGAAACTGTCACTCATGTCATTGTCGAATGCGAAACCACCGCTCAATGGAGATATAACCTGGGATACAAAGAAAATCAAGGGAATTGTCAACGACAGTCAATGACCCAGCACTCCTTAAGAGAAGGATCGAATCGATTGCACTAAACAAAGGAACTAGGAATGTACAATAAGCCAGAAGGCTACGGTGCTTGGAGAACAAAAACCCCCGACTTCCTAGTATTTATCATCATCATCAATATCGGATATAATTATATTGGATGAAAATATTTAGTGTATATTATTTTACGTATTGATCACGATGACCAGACTCCTAGAAGAAGAGGATCCTCCCATCCTCCCCGATTAAGAATAGGCTGACAGAGGTCTTTTTGGCCAAAGCCTGCGTATGTGTCCAGCACGTTGGGGGTTCTACTTATTTGAAAGGTGCAACTCCTTGGCTCTATGAATATGAGAATTGTGCTTTAAGACGGCAGCCAAAATAGGACAGATCGGTCGTTTTGGACTAAAGGATTCTTCGCTGTCAAGAAGGATTAGTTAGAAAATTTTCAGTTTCTACTTTAGTATGACTATTTTGGTCTGTGTTATCTCTGAAAGAGAGGAAAGAATGACCGAGACCTTTATTAAAGCACGACTTCCCTCACCCTGTTTATAGTCCATCCCTACGCACTGGAGCTAATGAAATGCCGAAACGCTGATAGACCAACATAGCGAGGCTAGACAGACGAAAACGATAGGTAGCATTTCAGGTTTCATCACCTCTCCGACAACATGGGGAAATTTTACAATTTTTAGTATCATGCCGAACGAGCAATAGGTCACTGATTGGGTCCGTTTTCATTGCGCCATCTTCAGTGAGGAACTGTTTGCTTTTGAATAGATCACCGACCCGCTGACCACCATCCAGCACCACCTCTAATTTTGAATATGTTGCAAAATAAGCTAAAGGAGAGAGGTGTATTTTTTTTAAAAACTTTTTTTGAGTTTCTTGTGTTCATGGTGTTGGTTCGGACCAAAGCATATGATTGGGGGTATTTTTTTTAAATTGGCTTTCGCTGCTTCTGCAACAAAGGGGATATTAAGTGAAAGGTGAGGCTTTATACATAGAAAAAAGGGTTAACAATTTTTCTACGGCCTTTTGGTCGGAATCTTTGGAAGCGTGGGGAGTTTAAGCGCTTGGTTGGCTCCCAAAGTTTGATACCATATGTCCATAGGTTTCATAATCGTGGCGTAGAACCTTTTGCAACATAGTGGAAGTATGGATCATTAGCCAAGTAATTTCTGGGAGGGTAGTAATGCCAGCAGTATATATCGTTAAAAGTTGTGGTGCAAGGATCGTCCCTTGTAGGACGCCAGCTTTGATAGTACAGAAGGGATATCGTCTAACTAGGAAATAATGTCAAACAGGACGATTTTAGAATTATATAGTAAGTACTACGTAGGATGTTTTCTAGTATAACAGTAGGTTAAATAAACGTCCAATTTTGATACGTCAAAAATGAGCATTTTTACTAAATGCAATAGTTCGAATATGTTTTTTTTATACTTCGTGATTGAAGGAAATTTTTCCCCGGCACGTTTCCCGATGGGTTTAGCATGGGGGAAAACTCGGATCAATGTTTGAAGCGGAGTGTGACTGAAGACGAAAAGTGGATTCGGTTGAACGAAGAAATTCATGCGGTTCGCCCGTACAGCTTGACTACACCAAAACAAGTCCAACGCCCTTAGAAAAATATCTCAACTTTGTGGAACATCAGAATTTTTTTTTCAACTTTTAAAATAGATTTACAAAAATCGACTGAGATTGAAAGAAGTACAGTGATTTGAAAGCTAAATTAAATTTCCGTCTAATACGATTTTTTTCCTTAGAAAATGTGGCTTTTTTGTGGTAACAATACGTTATTGTGGCATTGCGTACACCAAACTCTACTGACTATTTTGCTACACTTTCACCTTTAAATTGTGAAGTCTGCCAGGTGATGAACCTACCGTTTGGTCCCATACAATAGTTTCGATCTGTGAGACGAGTTCCGATTTGTCCCATCTTCAGTGCTGGTTGTAACGGCAGTCAGCTCAAAATAAAGAGCATGCAGTTTGTCCCTTTGCGATCGTTTTGGAGTACTTATCGTCGCTGTTTTGTTGTGTCAACGGTTTCGGCTTCTAGCTATCTCCATTTGTGGGTTTTGACCAAAATTATTATTAAAAACCGAAGATGGAAAGAAGCCAAGAGCCAGACAAGCCAATACTGCGAGGATAGGAAGATTAAAATGATCAGAAACGACTTATCTATATTACCATCCTTATCCAGCTTTTACAAAACGTCCAGCATATTTTTACATTTACAATCTACCAGACCAGTTTTTCCTGCTGGCTTCTGCTTTATTACTCTAATTCAAATTTATGCTAATCCGAAAAGTTGGGATTAGCAAAACTCAACTATAGATTGCACGATGTAAACCATAAAAAATATACTGATTGTAATATTTACCCCATCTTGACTGCACCTCCAGCTCTTCCAGCGGTTTTAAATGGAAATCGATTAACACGGGATTCTAAAAGAAAAAGAAAAATATTATTGCCTTAACTATTATTTTATCGGAAAAAATTTTTTGGCACCATATAGTGTATAGTAATTGCCCTTATTTCCATTTTTGGAGAAAACGAGAGGGTTTTATTGCACGTAGTCTGATAGATATCTTGTTTCCATTTTGGTATATTGAGACTGAATGTATTTATTAGCGTGAATGTGTAGTGGACAGGGGCCGGTGGCGGAATGTTGACCCCATACTCCCTTAATAGATTAGTTATACAGGGTGTTTTTAACTTCCGCCCCTCTATATTTTCTTACTGGTGCGTTTTTGTGAAAAATCCCGAGACACTTAAAAATTTATTTTTTGTCTAGTTTTATTTAGTTACTAGTTCGTATGTCCATGCGATTGTTAGAACAGCGGATAAGAATAGGCCAAGCGAGGTTGACAAATGGAGACTTACTTTTGGTCGCTCGATGTGTTCCCCTTAAAAGAAAGGAAATGGCTTGGCTCCATATAAAGAGCATTTAGTACAGAAAACAGGCCTATTTTATTGTTCACAGTTGTGACATATATCTTATTTGATGTTCCTTTTTCTGTGTATTAAGACTGAATTAATTTATTAGCGTGATTGCGTGTGTAGTGAAACGATGGCGAAATATTGAGTATCCCATAGACTCTCAATTGATGGCGAAAGAATGCATTTAAGTGGTTTAGATTTAGAAACTGGTGCGTTGGGGGGCTGAAAATACCTAACTGTGGAGCCCAACCTCGATAAGAGATAAGATCGAGGTCTGACCCCTGACATCGAAAACCCGAGGTGGGTGATTGTTGAAGGCTGCAGATGATTTATTTTAAATTAGGCAAAAGCGGGAAATGCAGCCACGCTTTTCATCGGCCGTAGGACATACGAAAAATCCAGGTAAAATCGATCTTATGGCTGACAAGGACAAATTTATTTAATTTACTTCTGTTTGTAAAAAAGTACCAACGGTGTTACGTTTAACGACGTTGAAACACGATACAAATAAAAATACATTAAACAATAATTTTCTCTTCGAAAACAACCGAAACCGATCCGGAATCTCGTGATTTGCCTAACACTTTCCACTCTGAAAGTCAGAGGTTTGACCCCCTCGGAGCTATATTTTTAAATAAAACACTCCACCGGAAAAAACAAACAGTGACTGGCGGTTTCGGCCGATTTACAAACGATGGGCTTATAAAAGGAATTTTCACTTCCTTTAAGCATTAGGCAAAATAGCAAATCACGGTGGTAATAGTAGACGAAAGCCAGTTTTAGTACGAATCCCCTTCCGAGGGCCCAATTTATCCCCACGGCTTTTCCTGTTTTTCGACCTAAAGAAAACCTAACCGAACAGCACGAATTGAAGTGTGCAAATTAGAAAAGAAACATCGATTCAACCTACGACAATGAACTGTCGAATCGGATTGTTTTAATTCTGCCGGGAAGAAAGAGGCCTTCGACAAAAGAACAATGGATTTATAAGCATAGTAACGCTCGTGAAGAATTGTAACTACATTATTAAAAAGTTTTTATAGTTTGTTGCAAGCACTCGTACTTAGAACGATATGTTTCAAAACAGCGGTAAACCAAACAATTATTCCCTTTACATGAATAATACACATTCCAGATTGTTCTTAATGCTATAAAATTCCGGGCAAAACAACTACGGCCAGTATTGCACCCAGAGGACACGTATCATGAGAAGCAATGCATCAGTTTGTTATCGGGTTATGGCGAGGAGGTCTTGGAGCCATCGTCGTTTGAGGCGACTTGGAGGGTTTTTGGAATGGAAAATCGTGGAGAGGATTTGAGCAGGATGGAGTAAACCATCCATGAATTGAACGATTGGAGTAAAACTTGAAGAAGCGTGGAAGGTCAAGGTCATTATAGATAGACAGGTTAGAGATATATTAAGAAGTTTGAAGGGCTCCAGATGCTCTCGCAGTAGGGTTAGGATGGGTTAGAAAACAGGAGTGAAACATGAGGAAGGGGGAACGAATCAATTCTTGGACGAAGAGAATGTTAAGATCATTGTGGATGGTGAAGTTGGAAAATTCTTCCGAGGACTTTGTAATGCTTGGATTCGTCGGATGGCTTGGTAGCCCCACAGCTCTATATGTTCGAATTCGTCCAAGTAATGTTTAGTATAGATTTTGTTCTTTACAGTCATGTTTGATTTTGGTCCTATAAGTCTTCGTAGTTGTCCAAATCGTCAACTTAGTTCTTGTCGTTTTAGTCTTGTGTGATTATTTCACATCAGTCTACGTAGGTATTTTTTTTTCTTTTTTGGCGTTATGAACTATGCATATTAGCCATGTGACAATTCATATATGTGTGTTCAAATTTGGGGGGGTTATTGTGAAAAAAGGGCCAGAGGCGACGGTGGGAATCGAACCCACGACCGCGGCGTGAGAGTCTCTCATGCTAACCACTCGGCTACCGCGGTCCCCTCGACGTACGTAGGTATGTTATTTGTATAGTCAGTAGTTCTTTACTGTTAACGTATAGGTTGGTAAAGATGTTTGCTTAGCGTGGACGTAATTTGGGTGAATTTGTACTCGTTCAGTTTCATTTTCCCGTTTTGCACCATTCTTCAATGAGCTCAGGTTGTTCCGGATATTGCAGGTGGCTTGTGGTTTGGATGCTTCTGGATATTGGATGTTGTAAGGATGGTGTTGGGATGTATCGGCAGGCCAGCAGTATAAATTGTAGGATGGGACCAAGAATGCTCCCTTGCTGGACGCCTGGATTTCTGACTGTAAAACAGAAATAAAGAAAATAATGTACGCAGTAATAGCCATGGCATCTTTGGTGTTAAGCCAGTTACAACACGAAAATTCAATTATTGAAAAAATACACATGCATAAACGTAAATATTTTATTAAATTCACTATTTTTTCGTGTTCCGCTTGACCAATTAATAACATTCAATTAATTAAGGTTTTAAGTTGAGATAAAAAGTCAGTGTCACGAGCGGGATTCGAACCCACAACCTTCGGCTTGATACGCCGCTAGTCTACCACTTGAGCTATCGTGACTTCGATCCCTTCTGGCACTAACTTCCCATCTCAACCCCACCTTTTGAATTTTCCCTCCTTTTTGCCTTTTCCTCCACCTTTTTCATTTGTCGCCGAGAATCCAATCCGATTACACATTTGATAAATGGCACAAAGGAGGGAAAATTCAAAAGGTGGGGTTGAGATGGGAGGTTGATGTCCGAGTGGATGGAAGTCACGTAGCTCAAGTGGTAGAACAGCGGCGTATTTAGCCTAAGATCGTGGGTTCGAACCTGGCTTGTGGCACTGACTTTCTTATCTCAACCAAAACCTTAATTAACTGAAAAGGTTGTGATAATTTTACTAGATTATAATTTTTATCTAAAATATTGTTGAGATGAAAAACCAAGACGTTAGATAAAAAGTATATTTAATTAAAATTACAAATGAAAAAGTTTGGAGGACAAGGCAAAAAGGAGGGAAAATTCAAAAGGTGGGGTTGAGATAGGAAGTTAGTGCCCGAGGGGATCGAAGTCACGATAGCTCAAGTGGTAGAGCAGCGGCGTATCAAGCCGAAGGTCGTGGGTTCGAATCCCGCTCGTGACACTGACTTTTTTTATCTCAACTTAAAACCTTAATTAATTGAATGTAAATATTTTATGTTAGTTTCGGTCAGCCCCACCCTCGCTATTTTTTCTTTTCTATCAATTTGTGTGTGATTGGTTTTATTTTCATTATATTTGTTTCCTTGTGCGTAGTTTTTGTTGAATACAAATTCGGGAAAATTGAAAAATAAATTTTTTCCATCAATTTTCCGCCTTTCAAATACCGCCGATTTTCCCTCGAAAATCACATAAATCATAACTTTAAAACAACTTCACCAATCCACAGGAGGGTTTATACGATTCTAGAACCCTGTAAAATATACGTAAATGGAACAAACCTAGTCGTCGTAGATAAATCAGAACCAGAGGATATCAAATAAAACATTGAATGTGTTTTATTGATTTAATCCTTATTTTCTCACCAACTACGATGTTGACATAATTCGAAAAAATAAAAATTTAGCTTTCCAACTGTTGTAATAAATTCGCATTTTGATATAATCCAGACTACATGTATTTTTAACTTGAACACTGGACATCGGATAAAAAATTCCCTTTGGCCAATACAGCGCACGATTATTGATTTTTTGTTCCCTATAAAAACTCCGATTTAAGGGTTTTAAACGCTGCTAAATATGAATCCGAAAAGTTTTTTTTACAAAATTTTTTGCATGAGCGAGCGAAAAATAAGACGTGTGGGGAGCTTTTGTTGATTTCACCCTTATTTTTCGTAAAAGGGCCATTTTTTTGTTTGATATAATAAATTCGTATTAAAAGGCTTTAAAGGGTGCTTGAAATTAATCGACTTTTTTGTCAATTTCATCCTTATTGTTCCAATAACGAGATAAAATTTAAACGTTGTTTGCTCAATCTGAAAGAAGACAAATTAGGTTTCATACATAAAGTAAAATTTCATATTTGAATAAGTCCAGAGGAATTATTTATTTATAACAATAACACCGGTCATTGGAAGCAAAAATATCACTTAGGGAAGTCCGTCCAAAAATGTCTATTTTTTGTTTGCAATAAAAAGTCGTATTTAAAGGCTTAAAAAAATAAGAATTGGTTTTATCCAAAATTTTTTGGCCTACTTTACTAGGGGCGTAATACGTATAAAAAAGACTTTTGAGGAGTTTTGGTTGTTTTCATCTTTATTTTTCTCACTTAAAATGACATAACATCTAAACATTGTTGGCATAAACTAAAAAAAATAAAATAAAATAAATAATATTAAATGGAGTTAGGATTTTTTTTGGTCGAACTCCGGCCATCGGAGGAAAAAATTCCCCCTGATTTTACCAACCCGAAAGAGTCTACTTTTTGTTTCCCATAAGAATTCGTATTTATCGGCTTTAAAGAGTGCAAACAAATCTGGATAATTTAATTTTTTTTACT